AAAAGAAAAACATATAAATGTAAAATCATGCTTTTCTAAAAACATTTGTACAAAGAAACAAATTCATCCCCAAAAATCACTATATTCACCTTATAGAGGGAAAGCCAAAATCTCTCCAGTGTCAAGCTGAAGTAAATAGCCGTAGCCACCCCATAATTCATGGCAACCTCACTTTTTCAACTTAAATTCTGGCTATCCTTTCAGCTCTGCTACCAGCAATGCTCTGCCTTCCACTAGCATGTACCGTTACCATGTCAACAATGTGCATAACCTCTAGCAAACATACACTTAACTACCCTCAACCACTACTTAATAACAAAGTAGCTGTAATTAATGTCATGACAACACAGTGGGCATCTCAGGCAACTTCAGTTTAAGAGGCTTTTAGCTATCACCGAGGTTTCTCTCCAGATGCTGTTCCACAAAGAAAATCTGATGTCAAAGTCACCCTGAAAGACTACAAATGCCATTGATAACCTTCCCAAGTATGTGATTATGAAGGATTCATCAGGTTTTGGAACATCACCCAGATTGCTAGTGAATGGTGGCAAATATTTAGATGCATCTAAGGGCTTTATGCTCCTCATGTTAATGTACTATATGATACATCTCAAAAAGGTGTAGGAAATATTGGAGTTGCACTTAATAATCTTTATTTCTTAATAGGCTTAGAATATTCCTCAGACCTACATTAATGCAATGCTGAAGGGGATACCCACTGTTTGTGTATTAGTTCATCAATATTGATTATGATGTCTGTAATGATAATAATAGCATCCGTTTTGATAGCACTGGTAAAAGAAAAAAAAGAAATCACAAAAACTCAAGGAAAGATTAAATCCTGTGAGATCACATGGTCTACTAATTTACTTCTTTGTGACAAAGCACTTGTGGAGCCATCCATGTGTATAGGTATTTCGCAAAGCATTACTACATTGAACACAAAATTTTCCCATCAGCATGGGTTTGAAAAAAAAAAAAAATGTATTAACCTATTTCCTCCCATATGATTGATGCATTTATAATGTCTGCTCATTCTTTTGATATCTTCTAGGGGAAAAACCATATCTCATCTCATTTACCTGGTTGACTTCAGTTGTTGTTAGATATTTTCAGAATGTATTTAATGTAAACATTCTGTTTTCTTCTCAGGCATCCTTTTTTCAGATTATTGTTTTCTGTACATCCATACAGCTTTATATACAGTCAGCACCATCAGAATTGGCGACCCTCGTGATGCTCGTTAACACATTACAAAAAGCAATGTGGAGGGAGTACCCACTGGTCTTAGTACAAAGTGGCGAGTCCCTTAGGCTTCATACAACTTGCCAAACGTTTCAGAACAGATTCCACCAGCCGCTGCCATCCATGGAGGTGCTCCACAAGCTTACTTCCCCAGTTCCATGCCTAGTGTTGTCAGGGAGGGGTGGGGGCTTAGGAGATGGGGACTGAGGCCCAAGGTAGGGGATCACCCCTACCTTGGGCCTCAGCCCCTCTTCTCTACTGAGGCCCAAC